TAGATCATAAACAATGTAGCACCTAGACTGAACTGATGAGACACTTAATAGCCACTACAGTAGTGAATGGCTGCAACTAGAGTGGTAGATGTGCTTTTCTTTCCTCTACATAAAAATAAAACCTGAGTCATGGCGATCTGAAAGGGTACACAGATAACAGTGGGGAAAACGAGCAAACCTCAAAGCTGACGTTGAGCAAAATTGAAGGTATATTTTCAGTTAAAGCGAGAATATCTTCAAATATCCAAAGGTTCCAGCAATAAAGCCATGGGAGACCAGCTTGACAGAAGTGAAAGCCATGAGATGTTTTGGAGGAGGAAGGGGGATGATACTTTGCCTGTCTTTTATAAATTCAGAAAAGAACTTACAAATGTAACTTAATTGGAGATTAGTGCTATATTTATCAGAAATTGTTACTGCTACTAGAGAGATCAGTACCTCAATACTAACTCAGTACTGGCTTCAGAATAAAAGATGTGTGCATGTTCACGTTACAGCTTACTAAGCTATCCTAAATGATAGTTAAATGAAACATGGTGTTCACTGGTTACCTGAAGACACCAATTAGTAATTGTGAACTGACTCTTTAAGCTATATATAAATGTCCAAGCACATTCACTTTGCTCTGAAGCTGGAATTTGGCTGGTGGCAGATAGTGGCAGACTGGAAATGTTGACATTTGGAAACTGCTCTAGAATTTTGGATCTACTCTGCTGGGAAGATAGGAGCCTTCAGTAGCCTACCACTTTAATTAGTCTGATCCACCATTTAAAAGCAATTTTTAGTATTCATTAACCATTGCATGTTATAGACTGTTCTTGCTTTTACATCATGTATATGAGTGTAATACAGTGTAATATGTTTTAAGGGTTTCTCTAGGTCTTTATGTGAGAGTGCGTTGTCTTTATATCTGTGATCTAAATGTCTTGTAATCTACACTTGTGCTTTTTTAGGAAGCATTATATGGTAATGCAAACATTTTTTGCATGTTATCAGGACACTGGCAGAAAATTTCACCATCTTGAAAGCAAGTATCCTGGAAGCTTTTTGGAAGAGCTTACTGTACAGAAATAACTCCTAGCATGTACTTCTTGTGGGCATCGTGCCCTCTTTTATTACCAGTAATGTTTTGACAAAAAAAACCCAAAGCAACTATATTTCCTCTTTTTAATAGACTTGTTCTTTTATTATTTTTTTCCCCTCTTGGATTTAGCTCTAATAAATAAAAGTTTTAGCAGCTGTTCTGTGGTTGAAGAATTGACCCTGGGAGCAGAAAGTAACAGAAATTGCGCGATCAGATGCTGTTCCTGCAGATACTTCTGTTCCCCAGTGTGAAGATTTTTTTTTTTTAATCTGGATTTCCAATTTATCATAATACTAAATTAACTACATCAACCTTTATTGCAGAGATAGTTTGAATGATTTTTACATGCTAGGTAGGAAGTGTTGGTATCAACAGGAGCTGGAAGGAGGACTGGCCAACCACCCACCATCCTTCTTAGTAAGAATCATCAAGTTGTCCCTGTATTAAAGATGCATTTGATTTTTTTTTCAATGTCAAAAAGAATTCCAAGATGCTTAGTTTATTCCATCAACAACTAATAAAGGCTATTTTTAAGACTACTGAGGTTTTTGGTCTCCAAAGATCTGCTGTTTTTATAAGAGGCTTTCTCTGAAACAGTAATGATTGAGGCAGAAACTCAAAATGTCAGAAACCCCAAAATGAAGGAGTCTGCTGCTTCTAGTTTAGAAGTGCCCCAGCAAAGTGCTTCACCCAGTGTTTGGGGGATAGAGGTTAGTCTGTGCCTGAGCAATAAACCTCAGTGCGTATTTCATGTTGTAATACTTGATGGACTCGTCCTTGGCAGAGACTTCAAGACCTTCCGACTGCTTTAACTCTGCACTGGTGTTTTATTCTTTCTGCTTTCTGTAAATGGACACAGTAAATGTGCCTTTAATTCTGACCATCATGATCTATGTTAATCTTGTGTCACTACAATTTTGATTACTTCTGATCAATTGAATTTTGCCTCTCTGTAATGAATCGCTCTTGGAATTCTAGTAGTTGCTACTCTGTAAACTCAAGCATCAGAACCACAAAGCAGTAGAAGCTTCCCTGCTTATCCCTACCTGAGTTGGTGGACCCATAAATTAAATCGACTGACTTGCTTGTGTGACTTATCTTTGGGAAACGTTCTTTAATGTTTAATTTCTTCTATACATATTATATGTACAATGTATATTGTATTTATTGTTACATATTGATTTACATGTGTTGTAATTATTGTTTAAAAAAAAATATTTAAATTCTTCTTTTAGTTGATCATAGCCGGGTTAAACTGACCTTAAAAACTCCCCCACAAGATTCAGACTACATCAATGCAAACTTTATTAAGGTATGTATTACTCTTTAAAAGTTCTTAAATTCTTTTAAGGCTTTTATTTCCTATCAGTGCAGTTTTAATATTATAATCTGAGATAAGAATTTAAAGATGTGAGGCAAGATTTTGTTTTAGTGGGGCTTGAATAAATTTGCAAACATGATGCCATTGATAAAGCAATTTTTAAATTTTTAATATTACTCTTCAATGTGGTATAATATAAAATACTTCACTTTTAAGTGACAGGCAACCAAATTGGAACTTTATACCGTAGGAAAATTCAGATATGATTGTTTTAACAGGTGATACTGTTAAAATTACCAGATTTGGAGAGACTGTTTTTAGGGATAATGAGGTGTTTGACAAATGTTAATATGCACTTCTTGCTATTCATGGCAGAAGTGTGGCAATGGAACTATATCTAACAGTCTTAAAGAGAAGTCAGAATTTGCAAAAAACCTGTTACACTTTTGTTTCAGAGTGTGAATATCTTGGGTTTTCCTTGTAGCCTTATTCTGATGCTGCTTCTGTGTAGTAATGTTTATTCAGATACAGGCGTTCATATAAATCTCACTTCTTGAATGTTTAGCTTGAAAAGCTGAATGTAAATGTCTTCAAGCTTGATGTAAAACAATTTTTAAAATTTTGGATTTTTGAAATGTGGTATTACTGGGAGGGGGAAATTTAAAAAGCATCCCCTTGAACAATTTTAGGAGAAAGACTTTCAAATTTTCATCATTAAATGTTTGAGTAATAAAGAAAATGCAGACTTAAAGAGAATCCTCAGAATCTGATCATACAGAAACTTAATGTTTTCTGTTACATTTCTGGCTGCACAGTAGCTGTTATAAACTCGCCCTCCCCTTGAAAACACCAGCAAAAATCCCACTAATGTAAATGGGACTCATATTTCATATTTATTAAAAAAAAAAGATATTCTAACTTTACATGATTATAACCTAAAGCTTTTTTTATTCAGTGCAGATACGTTTTCTTTATTAATGGTTAATTTGTGCAATCCTAGGGAGTACATGGGCCAAAAGCATACGTTGCTACCCAGGGACCATTAGCGAATACAGTAATAGACTTCTGGAGGATGATATGGGAATACAATGTTGCCGTAAGTACCTACTTAAAAACCAAAATTTGGTATTACCTTATTTCATGGCACAGTGATTCTTTATCTTTTGCCTGAGCTGGATATTTTATTAAAAATACTGACAGTGATTTAGTCCATTTACTTCTCAAATCTTGTTTTAGTAGTTTAAATAGCATTCATTAATATTATTTATTCAATTTCATAATGAAAATTCAAAGTAATAGTTTTATTGAATCAATATGAAATCATGCATATTTATGAATAGGTTGGTGCTTGGTTACATCTGTTCTGTAGGAGACCTTACAACTGACAAAATCAGATGCAGAAGCAGCATGTGAAACAAAAAAAATAAAAGCCTACCTTCATATTTATGCTAATTTTTGGTTACTTATTGGTTTACATATTCTACATCTGTTTAAGTGGCTATTGTCAGGAGTTACCCAATTTTAACAGTACTTAAAAGTTATGTTCAACAAATTATTTTTGAAAATACTTTTTTGTTTTATCAGACACTTAAATCATGGTTACTTATTGTAACGAATAGCTTACCTGTTGGTGCATTTTTATTGTGCTACTCACATTAATGTATCTGAAATAGCTTCACCTAAGAAATCTGATTCTTGTTTTTTAAATAAATTTTTGCACCTCTTTTAAGCAATCTATGTCATTTTAAGCAAATATAGCTATGTTTCTTCCAGTTGGCAAATTGTTCTATATTTTTATGATTAAGTTTAGACTTTACAGTCAGGCTGAATAAATAAATAAGGTATTTTTACAGGATTACAGTGAATTCAGATTAAGTAGCCTTAAAATGTTGTGTTAGTGTTGTAGATTTTGTGCAGGATAAAACTTGGGTACTATTTTAGAATTAAAAGAGCATGCATCTGCCAGTAGGAGAAGAGTATTAATTAGTAGTAACCAATTAAGGAGTATCAATGTCTGCCCAGATGGAAGCAAGCAGTAAAGTGTTGGTGAATTTATTTGATCTAAAACTAGCTAACTCCAAACACCTTTTTTATTTTCAGATCATTGTTATGGCCTGTCGAGAATTTGAAATGGGAAGGGTATGTATACGAAATACAAAAGTGAATAAGCATTGCCCATGAGGGGCAATATGCCAGTACCAGCAAAGCATCATATGCCAAATCCATAACTGTAAAAACAATCGGCCAGACTGAATGAGAACATGTATCCTTATATTTGTGAATGTGATTGCTTTTCTTTGTTTATAGTGTTACATTATTATTTAAGAGTCATCTGGGTGGAATATACATATTTGTATACAGAACTGTACCAATGGTCTGTTTCTGGTCATGTCACTATGTAAAAAATCCGTCTCTTTGTGGGATGTAGGCCAACTATCAAAATCCTGAAACCTTCAGAATTTTCTGTCAATTAATACATAATACCTCTCTGCTATATTCTTATGACTTGAGAAAGAAAAAAAAAAAAAAAAAAAAGAAAAAAAGTGCTCCATAATTGTGAACTCCACTTTCACAAAAACTAAATGAGCTCTCATCACATGCCTCTGTATGATGTGTGCGCATATGTAGGCAGTCGTGAAGCTCACATCCTAATTTACAAAGTGTCTTTTGGCTATATTTATTGGTCATCTGGGATTTTGCATTTGTTTTTCTTTTGGATACCAAAAGAAAAGACATTTTACTATCTTAAAAGAAGTCCAGCAAGGCACCAGTAGGCAGATGTTAAGGAAAAGCACCAGATAAGACAGAGAATAAGGCATTAGAGATTATCATTTTGTCTGCTCTGCTTCTGTTAATCATCATCTGTCAGTACTACACATGAATTAAATTATGATTCTTTGCTTTAACAGAAAAAATGTGAACGTTACTGGCCTCTGTATGGAGAAGCAGCTGTAACTTTTGGACCATTTCGTGTTTCTTGTGTAAGCATAAAGCTTTATAAATTGGTTTTGAAGGATTTAATGCTTTTGTAACTTAAAATAACTGTTCATGAAACAGTTTGTATTACAAAACAAATGCTTTTTTTAATTGTTCTGTACCAAATTTTACACAAAGACTCTGGAAGGAATGCAATGGAAAACAACGTGTCTATATAAGCTGTGTGGTTTTTTGAATCCTCCATGATTTTTTTTTTTATTTTTAAGTAGGAAACCTGTCTGCCTTGGTCTTGTATCTTTTTACATATCATTTCTTTAGCTTTACATGATGTAGTTTTGAATGTCTGTACTGTACTCAAGAAATCAAACAATATTCATGCAGTTGTTTCTCTCCATTATGACTTATGTGTTCTGGATGTGCATGAGAAATTAAAGTAATACTGCAATAGGTCATTTTCTTTAAGTTACATAAAGTTAATTAGCATGAATAAAGAAAAGGCTAGGTTTGATGGGGCTTTGCGCAACCTGGTCTTCTGGAGGGTGTCCCTGCCCATGGCAGGGGGGTTGGAACTAGATGATCTTTAAGCTCCCTTCTAACCCAAAACATTCTATGATTCTATCAAAACAGAAACTAAACTACTTTTTTTTTTTTTTAAAACTTGTTTCTGTTGGTAACAGATACAGGTTTATTTGAAAATACTTCCTTGTTTTCAGGGTGTGGATGAGGATATGGTGTGCGGGATCAAAACCAATATGATCAGCATTCCTTGGGTGTGGGATAGTATCTGGCTGCCTTTGTAAACACCTGTTTATGTATATTTATTCCTTCCTGTTTTAAACACATTTGTGGCCTGTTTGTCCAACTTCTAGCTCTTGAAGTTGTGGTTGCATCATCAGGCCTTCACTTCTAGATGATGCCAAGGACCATCCAGCCTATCATGTTGCGTTCAGTGGCAGTCTAATTCCTTAAGGGAAGAGAATAGAAAATAACCCACGTATAGGATGATCCTTCTCCTTGTACTTGTGTAGCCAGCTTCTAGCGATGGACTAGCAGGACTTCCTCAATTGGGTGTTGCCCCTGGATTATCAATATTTTCATAATGCAGTGAATGATGAATTTGACAGACTTTTGGTTTGGGTTTTGTTTTTTGTCACTTATTTTTTCTGACATTCATATCATTGTGTTGTTGGAGGAAAACACTTCCTTGTGTCTTTATTTTTAATCTTGCATCTGCTAGTTTAATCAGGTGCTATTATATTCTATTGGTTACAATTATGATAGGAATGAAAACTGGCATTAAAGTGTTTAATATAACTGTCATCAGTATAGATGATCTTAGTGTGAACTTTTCACACTGGAGTTCATGATTGGCTGTAGCTGTTCACCTTAAAACTGTGGAATTGATCCACTCGAAATGGATCTTAAAACTGTTTTTTCTTCTCCTTAACTCAAAGCTACTTGGGTTTGGACAGGAATTGCTGCTATTTTCTAGCTTAAAGTGCTTTAAGATGTTCAGAAAAAGCTAGCATGCCAGTTTATTGAGTTGTTGTTTAACCTACTTTGAAATAGTCCAGCAAGAATTAAGTACACTTCAAGTTCATCTTGTCAGGAAGGCATATACTTAGAAATTTTAGTCTGTAAAGATTTCTACCTTAAATTGATTTTAAAATTGGCTTGTTTGTTTGTTTGGGGAAGTTTTTGGTGTGGTGCTTGGGTGTTTTTTGTTTTGGTTTGGTTTTTTTCCTTCTTCCTCCTTCCCTGTACCGAGAAAGCAATGGTCAAATACCTGGCAAATGTTTGTGAAAAGGGATTGTGTGTATGTTGTAACTGACTACTCAACTGTAGCAGAGAATGTATTACCTTTGGGTACAATGGTGTATATGGGCTTGGCCGCTGCTAGCTGTGCTGCAAGGCATTGCAATTGTTTTCTTGATGGAAAGTGGTAAATTTCCTGTAGAAGATAGGAACACATTAAAGCATATATGCAGTCTCCTAAATTCACTGTGTGAAGATGTAATGCTAAGCTTTTTAAGGCATCTTCAAATTGTGCTATTACTGAGTTTTAAGTACAGTAATATTGTTTGGTGTATACAGTATAAACTTTCCTTAGTGTTCCAAAGGCAGATTTGAAAATTCTGGGAGGTTAGAAGCTATGCTTTTTGGCCACAACCAAGATAATTACAATGATCCATGTAGATGCACCCTTAATTGAAAATAATTGAAGGGAAAAAAATTGAAAGGAGATATCACTGTCCTGTGACAAGAGACTGAAGGTTATACAGCAGAAGCATTATGGAAGCATGGCTGTGGGAGGCAATCTGTAAATTAAATAGATGTATGGAGAAATAAAGCAAAAGAAGTACTTTGAAACACTCTTACAAGGATTTATTGATGGTTTCAGGAATAGGTTAGACACTTACTGGTTTGAAAATCCACATTTTTATTTTAAGTAAAAGTAGCATCTTTCGCAGGTATCTCATATAGCAAACTAAGTTGCTGCTGTTTTAAAATCATTGTCTTGATTTCCCATCTTTTGAGAAAATTGTAGATAAACTGGTAAATTAAAAAAAGACATCTGAGTTTAAAGTATGTTTTTAGTTATATCCTATATGCTGCATATTGATCCTTTTTCCAATTCATTACTGTTTTCTCATGTTTAGGAAGCTGAGCAAGCAAGGACAGATTACTTCATTAGAACATTATTACTTGAATTTCAAAATGTAAGTATATGAGGACTTCTGGTCTCAACTTTAATGGTTGCGCAAAGATCTCTAAAATGATACAATGGAGGAAACTCAAGAAAATATATTCACTTCTTTAGGTGCTAACTCTGTATGTATGTAAATCATCAGGTTTAGAAGTGATGTTAAAAGCTTAGTGTGTAAGAAAAGAGTAGTGAAACTCTTTACTTGTCTTTTATGTATGTTCTTTGTTAGCCAAAGGTGTGTGATGGTCTTCAATAGCATGTGTTAACAGCTAAAGAGCATCTGTCATTCTAAGAGAATTTCACTGTTTACCCCAACTGAAAATATGATGACAAACTGAATCAAACTTGCCAAAAGAAACTGTTCCCTCTAGTTAGCTTTTTTGTCTAAAGTATGTGTACTTGTTAGAACTTACCCTGCACTTTCACTTATTGTCAAGAGAGTTTTTCAATGTTAAAAGATATTTCTGATGCCCGTTCATATACTTGTATTGCCAAATAAAAATAAAGCAAGAATGACAACTTAGTGATTTATTTTTTCCCAAAGTTTCTCACTCTAGCTTGTAAAAAGTTACTCTTTTTGTAATTGAAATAGATACGAAAAATATGGCATGTTCTTGATTAAACTGAGTTGCATTGTCTCTTTGCTTAGTGAACTTTGGCGTGGCGGATTTCTATGTGATATGTTCAAGGGTCAAGATAGAAATGTACTTTTAAAAGTGAGCTCAAGACTTTGGAATTCTTGAAGGTTCAATATCTACTGTTCAAGATGTAGAATTGGCTTACCAGACAAGTATTCTGGTAAACAATTCATTTACACTATTTAAATTGGCAACTGTAAATGGTTACAATTAGTCTCTTTATGGAAGAAATTGCGTTTATTCATCTCTAATGAAAACCTGTGCTTCATAAACTGAGTATCAGTTATGTTAATTGTGAAAAGGAATTGTCGTGTTTTCAGTGAAATAAAAGCACTTGCATTCTCATATAAGTGTTAAGAATGAATGATTTAAGCCTTTCTTGCAAACTTATACTTAAATGTTGGATTTGAGGTGACTGTTTATTTTTCTGAAAAGCAACTGTCAGTAAATAAAAATAAGTTTAGAGCTATATCCTGCAAAAACATGAAGGTTGACAGTCTGTTTTACAGAATGCCTGTCATTTTAATTGGCATCCTGTATTAAGAAATTATTTATTACAGGTTAGTCTCACTTATAGTTGTGCTTGCTTTAGCAATGCTTTGTTCCATTTCAAGAACTGATATCACAACAGATATGAAAACTGCTTAATCATGAGAAAGGTAATTTTTGGGGGTAGTTTTGTCTGCAGTAGTTTGCTAGGTGCTTGCAGTGAGATGAATGAATGAAATCAGTTCGTTTCCGTTAGTGTTTCCTGAATGCTCATAACTGACTGTGCTGTGAAACTTTTTAGATAACAGAAATTAACTGCATAACAGCTGTGGGTTTTGCAACATTTATTGAAATGGTGCATTTAAGAACAGAACTGAAAAGATATCAAAAACCCCAAAGCAGAACTTGCATTATGTTATGAAAACTGGTTACTTCAGAAACTGTAGCTAATTTATAATACTATACATGCAAATCATGTTCAGCTACTTGACTTCCATGAGTTCTGTCCCAGTTAATTTTTGTAGGATGCCTGTGTACTGCATAAAAACTAAATAGTAACAAAAAGCTACAGTTTACGTTTTGCTTTTGATCTTGGCAAAAAGCCCAAAGTTTACATTCCTTTAAGGAGTAATGTAATTGAAAGGATTAACAAGATATGTTGATATTCAACCTATGCAGCTGATAAAATGATCTTTCTTCAGACTTACCTAGCAAACTTGCTTCAGGATTTCTGCAAGCACACATTTTGGTAATGAATTACAGACTTTTCATCTTACTTTGAGGAATTCTAAATGCAGCCTTGAACCCCAGTAGGAAAATATGTATTAGTGGTATAAAGTAATATCCTTTTAAGTTCACTTTCTGGTTTTCCAGAATAACGGAAAGTTTTGTCACTTCTGTGAAATTTTCAATGGAGTATCATACAAGATACTATGCAAAAGAGTTTAAAATTCCTATAAATATACAAAGTTATTCTAGTTTCTAGGAAGAAAACCAGTTTGAAACTTGAAGATTATTTTAAGCTAAACCACCAGATTCTTTCTTTAAAAGTGGCAGTAAAGAAAGGACTATGAAGGTTCCTTTTCATTTTTAATTTCCATATAAAAAGCATAAATTGAGATTTTTTTTTTTTCTGACAGTTCTGCTAATGTGAAAAATCATTGGGTTTGTCTCTTTAAGTGAGAGTTCTTGGTGGACCTTAATGGGCAGCTGTAACTTTTCTTCCTCTCTACTGATGACACTGGTTTTCCATAATCAGTTGAATTTTTAAAATTTATTTTCTCAGACTGGATTTTCTCTTGTTTTTAATAGCCAGTGCTTCCACAGGTCTGACAACAGTAAAGCATCAAAAATAGTTGGTTCAGTTGGAAGACAGGAATTTCCATGCTCAAAAGGCCCACTATGTTGCTTCTTAGTTAACTAAACAGATGGTAGCATAGGTCTTCAAACTTGTAACCTGTGATGTTGATCAAAAAAATTCATGAGCCTCTCTAGTACGTTACTTCAAGGGTACAGTAGAATTCAGAGGTGTGACAACAGCATGGAAAGGCGCAGTAGAACTAGCTGTACTGTGGGTGGTTTGGATAATGATGAGAAAGAGGATTTGGTCTTTCAAGAATTCAAGTGCCTGAATAACCAGGCTGTTCTAAAGCCTGCTTGTTACCTTGTCTTCAGTATTACTGTAACATGAGCTAACTAGAATAAAAGTGTACCTAGCGTTGCAAGTGTGATCCATATTTAGATATGGCCTGAATTGTTTCTCTTATTTTCTTAATTTCCCTCTGCATGTGCACTCACGTGAACACACACACACACACTTTATTTTGTAATGTGACAAAACAGCAACATTTTTTCCAATGTAGGTTACTAGAGTATGACTAGAAAAAGAACCTTTTATGGTGGTCTTTCCCTTTCTTTGTCCCTTTCAAAGTTTAAGACTATGAGGACAGAGAATCTTTCAACACAGTACAATGCTGTGGGCCCTTTAACTCATAGAGAGGGGCTTCCGTGACATGTCCCATAGTGCTTTCTCCTATGTATTAGCTGCACTCAAAATGCTACTTCAGAATTTGCCTTTTGTTTTTATATGTGGTATAAGCTGTACGTTTGTTTTTTTTTAATATAGTAAATGGCTTTGTCCGCACTAAATCACGCAAAAAGTGAAGGTTCATAGAACTATTTCATACCAACTCTTAAAATATATAGTATCATTAACACCTTTCTCTCTCCCTCTCCCTTAGGAGACTCGTAGTGTGTATCAATTTCATTATGTTAACTGGCCTGACCATGATGTCCCTTCGTCTTTTGATTCTATTCTGGACATGATCAGCTTGATGAGAGAGTACCAGGAACATGAAGATGTACCAATCTGTATACACTGCAGGTATCAAATATATTTATTTTTTAAGTTTATATACATTTTAATTTAATTTTTTTTTAAAGTCTAGACTTTTGGTATGAGATGCACTAGTTTGATTCTAAATCACTATTTATTTATTTTAGTTTTCTAAAAAAGAGTATTTCCTCATGTCAGAATTTTGCTCAAAATCATACAGTCTTCATTGACTTTAAACTTATGCCACAATTAAATTTTGCTTCTATTTCAGTTTAAGACAGAATATCAAACAGAAAATAATTAGTCTTTGAAAGGGAAACCATTCTGTGGTTCTTAAGGCATTTAAATCCTCATTAGGACAAAATAGACTTTGAAGATCATTGCAAATCAGATACGGGAGTGAAGGCCCTCTTCTCAATAGGTGAGATTACATAGCAGGTGCCATTGCTACCTAAGAACTTTTCTATCTGACTTCTAATATAACAAAAAAAGATCTCTAATCAGCAGGCTGTAGTTTCTGGTTGGTAAGTTTTTGCTTCTGAGCAGCAGTTTCATCTTTGACCTGAAATTTGGCTAACAGAAGGACTGCTGAAACTAAACTGATATGAAAATGTTTTGGTGAACTGACAGTTTCTGATAATTTCTCTGGACAGTTCTTGCCTATGATATTTGATAGTTTTTAAAGTAACAGAAGTTAATGTATTATATATCAGAAAACCAGAATTCAGATTCATAAGCCAGGAAGTGTTACATTGTTGGGGGCTTATTAACTCTTTAGAGCTTGGTTATTCTCTGAAAGTGTCTATAGAAGTCTACTGTCTTTAGCTATGTCCCTTTCACTCTAATTGAGGTCTAAAACCATAAGAAACTTACTTAGCACTGAAATCCGTTTCACTTTGCCCTGTTTCTCTTGAATGTCAGTACAGTTGTGAAAGTTGGTTCTTTACAGTGGTATAATTATAATGTAATAAATATGCGTGCGTTGTAACTCTTCATCTGTAAAATAGAAAAATTCATACTATTAGGAAGAATAAATGTGATAATTCACTGTCATTTTTTATAATTTTCAGATTAAAGTTTTTTAGATAAAAAGCACAAAATAGATATGATACTAAATCAGAAAAATGTGGGAAGCCTTTAAATGTTTTCTGTTCTGCCATTTAACATATCATTAAACTCAGACAAAATCCCTACTGTTTAAGCAGTGGTAGCTAGGAATAATGTGACAAAAGAGACAAAAAAGTCAACATTAAAGCATCTTTTGTGATTGTAGTACCAAGTGGCTATGAAAAACTTGCATTAAAATTTTCAGTGTTTCATTTGCATTTTGTACTGTTAATTTTTTTTATTTTTAAAACACTATAGTGTCAGGTTGAATGAGCTAAAAATGACAGTTGAGGGATTTTAGGTTGGTTTTTTTTTTTCACGTGGACTCTGGAAATATAAAGCTTGTAGTGTCTTTTTAACAAATTAAAATAATTTCTAACATACCTAACTGTTTATGTTCATAGTGCAGGGTGTGGAAGAACAGGAGCCATCTGTGCTATAGATTATACATGGAATTTGCTTAAAGCTGGGGTAAGGAATCTTAACAGAAGAAATTTGGTGGCATTCTGTCATTTCATAACAATGATTGATTGAGCTCCCAAATGTTCTAAAATAGTGGAATGTTTAAGACATTCTGGAACTCGTTTGACAGGTTGGATGTCTAGTTTCATTGTATTCATGCTTTAATATGAACTTCCTTTGACAGCAACTTTTTGTCTAAAAAAAGGTCACTGTAAAATTCTAATTTTTTTTTTAATATATTTCAATGTAAAGTGATTTCGAATTCAACTTTTTCAATGTCTCTGCTTAATCTTGCAGCTCCTAAAGCCTGATTTTTCAAATATACTGGGATAACTTCATTCTGGGATTTTTAGGTTATGAAGCATCATTAATGTTGCAGTGTCATACAATGCTTTCATTGAATATCTCATTTTCAAAATACTTGAAATGCTCTCATCTGGTCTAAATCATGTTTAAAACCAGTTCTGGAGAGGAATTGCTTTTTTAAAAAAATTTGAATAGCTGCAATGTGGAGTGAACGGATTGGCTTTACCTACAAAAGTTAAACATACTTTTGGATGTCTGACAGCTTTTTGTATGGCAGTTCTGACCAACAGTTATGTCAATGTAATTGACTTCCTTCTGTATTTCAGAAAATACCTGAAGAATTCAATGTATTTAATTTAATACAGGAAATGAGGACACAAAGGCATTCTGCAGTGCAGACAAAGGTATAGCTTGTTTTAAAATCAATCTTTATCATGTGATAACATACCATCATTCTTTGTAAAGATCTCGTGCACTAACTTTTATCTGGTAACCTACTACAGGAGCAGTATGAACTTGTCCATCGAGCCATAGCACAACTCTTTGAAAAGCAACTGCAAAAATACGAAAGTTGTGCAGACTGGAAGATTGCAGATGGAGTGGTATGTGTCTTTCCCTTATGAGTTTCAATCAGTTGTAGCTGTTAGCTTCTGACTGAGATTTTGCTGTAAAGTCTAATTTTTAAAGTTAAATGTTCAGTGTTGTTAAGGTACATACAGAACTTGTTTGGACTACAGGTGGGTTTTGCTGAGTAAGGACAATTAGCCTGTACTCAGCTTACACTGAGGACTTGGTTGTAAAAGTTGCTTCAGATAGTTAAAGGAATATTTACCATGTATAGCAAATGCAATTGCAGTGGGGGAACCTACAGAAAGAATTCTAGTTCGGATAAAATGCAGGACTCTAACTCAATATTTAAATTGTGAAATGTGCCCTTACCTTGGTGAGGTGGCAGTAGCTGACAGCTGATCTGTTGCTTTGATTGGCAGTACTTGCCCCACTTCTGATATATTGGCAGCAAATGAAATTTTGTCTAAGCTTGACTTTCTGTAAATTACGTGTGAAACCTATGATAAAGAGCAAGTTAAAAACTCCAGCCTACATACACATATATTTCTATAGAAATAAAAATAAAGAAATGCACATGTGTGTGTATGTATATGTATTAATTCTGTCTGATCTATGTTTGACTTAAATTCTTGAAAGAGAAGAACTTCATCGAAGTTTTCTTTCCTTCCTTCCCCCAGTGTGGTGTTGGGCCCCGTTTTAAACTAGTAGATAAGCATTGATCTGACTCTTCAATTGAGACTTAGATATTACGTGCTGTTGTGTCTCAGTCTTGGCCCAACACAGCCTTGATGTAGCTGAGCAGGACTGACAATGAATGATCTCATTAAGTTCTCGTATTGTGTTGAAGTACTATTTGCACTGGAACAGATTGGGGGAAAGAAAAATAACTTAAAATTGCCTTTGTCTGGAAGCTTCATACTCTACCCTTTTACCAAAGGGAAAAAAAAACCCTTGGAAAAATACTGTTCATTGGTAATCATGGTATTTGAAGATTTTTCCATCTTTCTGTCATTCCACTTTAAATTTCATGTCCCCTAGGTTTTTTCCCTTTTTTATGTTCAGATATGTTTTCTTGGCTACTGCTGGGCACTATGTGGAAAATGGCTTTTTGGATCAATTATTCTTTCTCTCCCCCACAGTCCAGAACTGGACTATCCTTGGACTGTGTTTTGTTTATTCGATAACTTTATCTGTCCTTTCAGTACCTAATCAGTGTAGGCTCTATAGCTCCCTAGAGGGAGTATGAGTAGTATCTTCAGGACCCTTTGAAATATCTGGAAGCAGTTTTAAATCTGCCTTATTAATAGGCATCTGTTTAATTTTAGGGGTTTAGCTGTTCTATATTGTGCTTTCTGAGAAGTCTAAAATGTTCTTCATTCTTGGAAAGAAGGCATATACCCTTCTGTTAACTCCTAAGAATTTGTATCAGTTCATGGAATAGTTCTGAGGTCTTTAGTCATGACAAGAAACCTCTGAGGAACTAAATGAAGTATGGATGGAGCATAATTTATTATAGATTTGATATTCAGCCGAGCTGGTCTGTGGATTTTCATTTCATTTCTGAGGAATGAGCATGATAGAGTTCTGAATGTGCAGATTTATTAGCTTTGTACAGGTGTGATTCTTAATTACTTGAGTTCTGGTCATAAAATAACAGGCAGATCAGTCTACTGTACCTTCTGGCTATTGGACTTTGATCTGACCTGTGTCTACACTCTTACGTAGAATCAAAAATGTCTCTTTTATTTACATGTATTCCAGAACATCTGGATAAGGAGGTGACACAGTCTGTATCAGTCTGCTGATACTATGTCTGTAAGCAAGGCAAGTGCTGTCTGTGAAGAACTGTACATCTTAGAGATTTGAGTGACTGAGTAATAAAACAAACAACTAGATTATGGATAGGTAGTATGCATGGAGGGTGAGACAGGGAGAAATCCCAGCTCTGAATATGCAGCGATGGAGTGTGAGTTATGAGTGTTGAATTTTGCTTTGAAATCATCTTGGTTATAACCAATAAGTTGTAAAGGAAATGGAATTATAGCAATTATTTTTAAATTATTAAGACCAGAGAATGTAATGTCATTGTGTGGATACTTTGCAACTTGAATACTGTCTGCAGGTCTGGTCTGCTTATCTCAAAAGCATATTACAGAATTCGAGCATTAAAAGTTTGGACAAGGATCAAAGGTGTCAGACGTCTCCCATCTGAAGAACAGCCAGATTGAGCTGAAAAGAAATGGCTTAAGTTAGATATGATAGAGGCTAAGTAACAGTGAAAAGCTGATTTCTATTAACCTTTTCTAAAGGGTTTCAATGAAACCTGGCAGACTTGATATAAAAGGAAATAGTTCTTCATTCAGCATGAAGCTGCAGAGGTCCTTGCAGCTGAAAGCCTGTAGCTTTGAGGTGAATATCTCATCATTTTGGAATCTTCTTCCGTGAATTTGCCCAACCTCTGACCTAGGAAATTCCAGATTTGCAAATCGTTGGAGAATATCCTAGAGAAGGATCCCTGTATGTCTGCTCTGTCCTTATTCTTCCCTGCACGTTTCCTTTTGTTCACTGCTGGAAGCAGGGTAAACCCAATCTTTCAGTCTGACTAGGTACAGCCTTTTTTGCATTGGGAAATGATGCTTCTTCATATTGTAGCTCGAATGTTTCTGTAGGAGGGTTGAGGAAAAAAGTCTCATAGGTAGAATTCCTGTGTCTAAAAATTTGGCACTTAAAACCAAATTTGCTACTATTCATTTTTTAGTTAGGAAATTTGCCTTCAGGGAATCAACTGGTGTAGGCTTGGCTTCTGTTTTGGTTATGTGAGGTAGAAGACTACCTTATAAATCCAGTTAAGTATCTGCTTGTAGCTTTAACCTGATTCTCAAAACTTTGAGCCTCACTTGAGACAGCATTTTTGCTATTCTGACAAAGCTCCCTTTTTTCCTCAGTGGGTGTTATGTAGCATCTGTTGTATATAAGATCTGCTTTTCCCCAGAAATGTTGCAGTTCTTTTTAACTAAGATACATCCCAGAATGTTTGTTCGGTTTTTAAAAGGAAACAAACTCTGATGCAGAAAGTTTTCAAATAACATCATTGAATATAATGTAATATTCTGAGGTTCCTTCCCAGGTCTTACTCTGCCTACAGATGCTACAGCAACTGTGGAATTGTGAACATGTGAAGGGTTTTAATTACGTTTAGTGGAAACAACTCCAAATCAAAGAATGTGCCTACTTTGGATATATTACTGAGAGTTATATAGGAGATACTACTGAACTTTCATTTATTATATTTCGATAGTACTCTGAAGAGTTGGAGTACTCTGTAAGGTTGGTTTCACGGTTTTGTTGTCCAATTGTCGTTCCCATTTCAAGCAGCGTTTGAAATGAATTGAGTTACCTAAGCTTTGTAAGCAGCGTTTGCCAGTAACATCACAGTAAAAAGTTAATCTGATTGGCAACGAGTAGCAGTATTCATAGGGAAGTAGCTTAGACACCATCCTGAACGTGTGTTCCTGTGAACTTGCCAACATTGCCCTGCTGGAAACAATACTGTAAAAAGTCAACAAAAACCCCACGTGCAGTATTTGAGAATAGAATTACAATAGGGTTAGAATTTCTATTAGAATTTGATAGAAGGATTCAAAACCATGTAGAAAATGCACGTATGATATAGTATAATGTAGTGATTGTGTAAACTGTATGGTAAGAGTATACGTATTGTGAAAGTATAGAACTATAAATGTGCTTAAAATAATATTAATTATGTAAATGAAATTATATGAAGAAAAGCTTTCTTCAGGTACCAGGTAAAGTACTTTCAACAGTCCCCACAGTAGCCAAATTTCAGGCAAATCTGAAATTGCTGCTCAGATGCGGGTTTTTTCCTGATAAGAAAAACCGCAGGTGCTAAGCTTGCTAATCAGAACTATTCCCCCCCACCCCGTAGCAGGACTCTCTTAATTTATCGAACAATTAAATTGAAACTGAGTCTCAGACTTGGCCCCCTTCCCATTGAAACTCTTGATCATATTGTCATGTATTTGGAGTCATTAACTATGTGCTTCTTGCCATCATTGGTTTTGTCAGAACTGCTGGGAAAATATTACACTTGGTTTTCTGTTTGGAAGCTTTGAAACGTATGTGAGCTTGGTTAGTCTTTATCATCTGATAAGATATCAGTCAGATTTGTATCAGTAGACTATTTTATGAGTTACTTGAGAGGCATCTCTGCGATCTGAAGTGAACCATGGTTGACTTGGAAAGTCTCAATCAGATGGAATTCCATCAAGTTGGATGTTCTGTATGTAGAAAAAGGAAGATTGATTGAAAGACAAACAATAAAAAGTTTACTATCTCTTTAAATATATTTCTTGTTGAATTTTGTTTCTTGACAGTAACAAGTATGTTACAGTACTGCAAGTCCTTGTTTTACCCTTATCCACTAATAGAGGCTTGTATTAATAAAAACTTTCTCCAAAATATGGCATTGCTAGTAGTCTCAAGCATCTCTTGCATTTCTTCCTGTAAAAGTGACAGAATTCTGTTGCTGTGGTTGATTCCACTTTTAGAAGCTGTGGAGGAATCGGCTGCTGTAAGAATGTTGATATTCAAAACCACATTAGTGGTTTGGAAAGTTTAAGTGAAAAGACTTTGCTGTGCAAATTCTCTTTGCTGTTTTGGAGCTTGGAAAGAGATTTTTGGCTGTTGTAGCGTTCTGAAGAATCACGTATGTCTTCAGAGACATTTATCTTGTTTGCCTATGCTTGGAAAGTTTTATTTAATCTGAGTCATTTGAATGTATCATTTCAGTCTGAAGTATTTCTTTTTATCTGCTGATGCTCTGTGGTTCCCATGCTGCTTTATGATAAGGGCAAAAGGAATGCCTCAATTCCTTTTAAGGGAATCCATGAGATTACTTCTGGAAGAGTCTTTGCAGTAAATTTGCTAGTACTTTACCAGTACAGAAAGCTTCTGAATGACATGAAATATTTCCATTGTGAGTTCCAAAAGAAAATTATGCATTGCAATTCCT